TCTCTCTCTCTCTCTCTCTCTCTCTCTCTCTCTCTCTCTCTCTCTCTCTCTCTCTCTCTCTCTCTCTCCATTTAAGTATGTTCCTATGAGAATTTTGCTATCCTGAAAAATATTTCCCTTAATCTTACTACCACCTGAAACTATACTCCTACTTCTATCCTGCCCTCAATAATAATAACAGTGATTATTGTTCACAAAGCATCTTTAAAAAAAAAAACCACTCCGTGAGAGAGGTAAGTAAAAATGGGCAATGAAGATACAAAAACAAAAATAATCCCTGCCTTCAAGTAGCTTTCATTTCATTGGGGAAAAAAGCAACACTTACACAGATAAGTAGATAGAAAATGTCCAGAACAAACAAAAAGTAGCAAGAGGAAGAGAGAACACTAGCGTCTGAGAAGATAAAGATTGGTTTCCCCTTTAGGATGTGGCATTTAAGCTATCCTTTGTAGGGAAGCCACAAACTCTTTGAGAAGGGGGTGAGACAAGAGAGTCTTCCACTCACAGGGGATATAGCCTGTTTAAAGACACAGGGATGGAAAATGGAATTTTTCTTTATATCTCCAGTTTACTGAAACTTCTCTCTTGAAAATCACCAACACCTCCCAACTGCCATATACAAAAGGCTTTCTTTAGTTTCCTCGCTCTTAATCTCTCTGCAGCTTTTGACACTTCTGACCAATTACTTCAATTACTATCTCCCTTAGCTATAAATATAACATACTTTCCTGATTCTTCTCCTAATTCTCTATCTACTCTTCTGTCTTCACTGACTTCTTATCCCATCCCTAACGTCTTTATATGAATGTTCCTAAAAGTCTATTCTCAAATCCTGTGCTACGCTCTCTACCCTGACAATCTCATTCACTCCCACAGTTTAACCTAGTATCTCTATATAAATATCTTCTAAATATCTTTCTCCAGGCCTGATTTCTCCTCTCAACTCCAGACCTGCATCTCCAAATGCATATCTGCCTGGGTATCCCAGAAGTATCTCAAACTCAGCAAATCTAAAATCACGCTTCTTATCTTTCCTTCTATATGTATCCTTCCTTCTGAATTCATGATTTCTGTCTTCAATACCACTATTCACCTTGTTTCACATGTTTATAAACTTTGGAGTAATACTTTACTCATACCCTCACCTTTACCTTTCAGTTACCAAGTGCTGTTAATTCCACTTCTACAATAGCTCTCAAATCTGTCCTCCCTCTGCCCATCATTTAAAGCCTGATCCAAATACCACTTCCTGGGGCAGCTAGGTATCACAGTGGATAGAGCACTGACCTGAAGTCAGGAGGACCTGAGTTCAAATCCAGCCTCAGACCAAACACTTAACACTTACTAGCTGTGTGACCCTGGGCAAGGCACTTAACCCCAACTGCCTTAAAAAAAAGTTAATAAACAAATATCACTTCCTACATAAAGCCTTTCTTGAACCCTCTGGTCAAGTAACAACCTTCCTCCTCAGGCCTCATGCAGCACTGTTTGCTACTCCTTTAGCATGTAATGTTGCATATTGAAGTTACTGGTATCTCAACATCATTTTTGATTCTAAAAAGTTCCTAAAAGAGCAGTACTTACTTTCTTCTCTTGAACTGAGCTTAGCAAACAATTGATACTCAACAAATTTGGTCTGCATTGTTATTGTTTGTCCTTCATTCTCCAAAGGAGAGATGACATCAGGTGGATGATGTCTTGACTTGCAAGTGAATTGGATTTAAGTGAGGCAGAGCAGTGCAAAGTCAATAGCCTCACTCTCTCCTCCAGGGTCATCTCAGTCCAGTGGCAGGACAAAGGTCAAGAAGACTAGAGATGCAGTGGGAGATGTTGGCCTTTTTAAGCTAAGGTCTTTCCCAAATCTCAGTTTGTCTGAGGCACTGCTCATTCAGGAATGCAAAACTAAATAAGAATTGAGGCAGAAGTTGGCTTAGTTTGTCTTCCATAAAGAATCAATCTGGGTGGGGAAGACCCTTAGACTTTCTGGCCAGAACAGAAACAATGGCTATTTACACTACTCTAAGCCATCAATATGCAAATAATGAGCAATTGAGGTCTGGGCTAGGGCCCATTACAAGCCAATCAGTGAAAGACAGAGAAATCTGGGTTTAAAGACATAGTCTAGTACCTCCATTTGAATCACAATGGGCTTTTATCAAAGCCTGGTTTTTCAGAGCTATATTTCAAAAAATCATAAATGAAAACTCCATGAGACAAAATAGTTCATTGTCCCAGTCTTTTGGGGGAAAAAAAGGTGTGATAGAATAAATAGAGAAGAAAATAAAAACTAGCCCCCAAACCCCAAGATACTTTGCAAAGTATAAGTGATTAAAATTTATGTTCTTTTGGGTGTGACTCCCCACATGGATAGAGGAAGAGAAGGTAGAGGAAGAAGAGGAGGAGGTGGTGGAGGAAATAGAAGCATTGCCCAGCTGGAACTGGCTAGGCCCCCAGGGGCAGCTACTACTAGAATTACACATGCAACCTAAATAAAATGACCCATGTTGAGTTGCAAAGTATATCAAAGAATTCTCTAAAATGGAAAACATACCACAGTATTAAAGTATCAATTAATTTGCCTGAAAATACTTACATTTTATCAAGTGAAATTCAAAATACAAAAACATACTAGGAAAAAAAATTGATTAAAATCAATTATAGGGAAAGATATTATTTAAGGTAATTGATATGTGACACCAGATAATAAAGAAAAAAGGGGAACTACAAAAAGAGCTATATAGTATTAAAGCACATACCTTAGAACACTGTTTATGAGTCTGGCACCATACCAGGGAACCATTGTTCTGAAAAAGAATTAAAATACATGTTTACCCATTAAAAATGTTTTATAAATGTTGATATATTACCCTAAATCACTTGTTAATGAGTCCAAAACAACTTTATAAAAGTAAGGTAAAATTGTCATCATACTAAAGTTTTCCTTGCTTTATTGAGCTGGGTTTTATAAAAGATGGCTTTTAGCAAAGTTAAATGTAAAGCAAATCCTATTTTATTATTGACTTCTTTTGTAAGAGAAGGAGCATAGCACAGAGAGATAGGCTTGGAAGACTTGGATTCAAATCCCACCTCTTGTCATACATGACTTATATGACTCTTAGAGAGTTGCTTAGATCATTGAGAGAGCAAGTGACTTGCTAAGACCTACATTATTAACCTGCAAAAAAGAAGTTCCCTATACTAATGAAATCTCAGGTCTAATCTCTCTTTTTCTTCACAAAAAAAAAAATGGAAGCTATGTTCCTGTAAAGACAATAAACTCCCCTACCACAACCCCCATAAACACTTGGCAATTGTTGAAGAGGGAGGAAAACTATATTGTCTCAACTTAAGCCAAAATTGCAATGCAATCCTCTAACAAGGCTATTTTTACCACAAGTTATAACTTCATATAAAATTTCATATTTTTTTTTACATTTTCCTTTTTTTCATGATTTAAACATCAAAAAAAATGATCATTTCAATGTATAAGGAAGAACAGGAAAGAGGTATTGGCAATGAAACAAAGATTTCTTCTGTGTATGAGTTGAGATGGTTTTAAGTATATATTAAATTTACTCTTAAAATACCAAAACTACCCTGCTGGTCTCTGCCTACTTCTTAACTTCCTTCTGCTCCCTCCTATGTATTTTTCAGTATCTCAATGACACTTTTCTTTCTCTTTCTTTGTATCACTACCACTACTCCCCCACAAAACTCCTCCTAAGAATTCTGCATTCCCAAAATCAAAACCACCATTGTAATCAATCAATAAGCATTTCTTAATCGCTTACTATGTGCCAGTTATTGGGCTAAGAACTGGTGATAAAAAGAAAAAAAGAGAAAACACTGCCTGTCCTAAAGGACCTTACATTCTAAAGGTAAAGACAGCAGGTACATAAATAGGCATATACAAGACACACACAAAGTAGAAATTATATCACCTTGGAAGGGAAGGCACTAGTGGAGGACCAGAAAAAGCCTCCTGCAGAGAGTACCATTTGAACAGAAGGAGCAGGGCTTCTAAGATGTAGTGATGAGATGGTTTGGCAGAAAGCATTGAAAATGCACCAAAGAGATGCAGTAAGCGTAAGGAATAATCTATAGGCCAGTATGGCTAAAGTACAAATAAGAAGTAATACGCAGAAGGGAATAGAGGTTAAGATGATAAGAAGGCACCAGGTTTGAAGGTTTAAATTACAGAAAAGTTTAAATTTGTTTATAGAATAAATAGGGGAAAATTGAATGACTGGAGTGGTAACACACTCAGACTTACAATGGGGAGAAATATGAATCAGGAAGAAACAATTATGAGGCTATTACAATAATAGAGGCAGGAGGTGATGCAAGCCAAGAACACAATACACACAATAACTACAACAATGTAAATGGGAAGAACAACCACAAACTAATAAAAAGTGGCTGCTGAGAAATTGCATAGAAGAATAATCATTGCCCCAAAGAAGAGACATGAGAAGATGCCTTCCCCAATTTTTTTCCAAAAGTGGGAGTTTCAGGAGTGTAGAACATTACATATATTTTCAGATTTTTTTCAATGTATTTATTGATTTTACTGATTTTCTTTTCTCTTCTTATTCTTTTTTTTCTTTAAAAAAAATCTTTGTTATATGGGATGGTCCCCTGAAAGGGAAAGGGAAAGAGAAAGAAAAAGAATGCCAAGAGGAACTTTATCACTTTTTATTATTTTTTTATAATATTTTATTTTTCCCAAAACATGTTAAAACAATTTTTAACATTTGGGTTTTTTAAAGTTTTAAGTTCCAAATTCTATCCCTCTCTCTCTCTCTCTCTCTCTCTCTCTCTCTCTGTCCCTGAGATGGTAAGCAATCTGATATAGGTTATATATGCACAATCATGAAAACACTTCTATATCAGTCATTTTGTCCAAGAAATAAAATTATATTTTAAAAAATAACAAAAGGGCTCCAGATGATCTAAAAAGGGAGGAGGGGAGGAAACACCAGTAAGTTCCTCCATTTAGTCCAGAACTACACAAGAAAATTTCCAAAAGTCTACAGTTGTTCTGAATGTTCAAATGAGAGAGTGATCTCCAGAAGCTAATATAGTTGGGGGAGACTCGAGTATATTATATGAACTGGATGCTGAAGGAAGGGAAGAGTATATAATTGCAGACAATGAAAGAAGGGAAAATGGCTAACAAGCAAGAATGTAATTAGTGACTAAACTGGAGGGTTTGTCTAACAGAGTCATTCCTGAATTATCTATGTGTATAGTTCAGGGGTGGGGAACTTCCAGCCTTAAGGCCACATGTGGCCCTCTATGTCCTCAACTGCAGCCCTTTGACTAGGACTAAAGCTAAAGTACAAACTCATCTACAAAATGGTACAGAGAAATTTTGGAAGAAAGACCAAAAAAAAAAAAAAAACACCAAAAGGAAAGGAAAAAAGTCTTTACAAACTTGCCATGGGACCCAATTAAGCAAAATCATGTGAAGAACATTTACAGATCAAACTGGAAATAGGACAACATCTAGGGTGAAAATGCTTGCAATTTCATTCCATTTCTATAGCAATCTATTCTCATTGTTGATAATATTGAAACTATCACATTGGACTCTTAGGACCCAATGGCCAGTAGAAGAAAATAGAAATGAAACCCAAAAAGATTGATAGGAAAAACTATCACATTGGACCAAGTGCTTCTATTTCAATAATTCAACATTCTATGATTTGGTGATATGATCACGGAAAGTTGCTATGGGTGATACTTTGCTGGGAAGGTCTTCAGGGGAATTCAGCAACTTTCCCAAATCTCTGGTGATGAGTTTCTCAACTAGCTAAGTTGGTATTATGAAAATAGACTTACCAGATTCACATTTGAAGCTTTCCCAATTTAGGTAGGATCTGCTGATGGTACACTGGCATAAGCTTTGAAAACACAGGGTTATGTGGTACCATCATTTGGAGAATGGTTGACCAGAAACTGGTATATGAATGTAATGCAACATTATTGTTCCACAAGATACTGGGGAAGATTCGTATGAACTGATATAGAGTGAAACGAGATGAAACAAGAGAACAATTTATACAATAACACTGTAAAAATGAAAATCTAAAGACAAGAATTTTGATCAACCAAAGTTGGAAATGTCTAAGAATAAAGATTGCAACCACCTCTTGGCAAAGGCGTCAATATGCAGTCAGTCAGCAAACATTTATTAAGGGCTTATTATGTGCCAGGCATTCTGAATTTAATTTAAGAAAGAAGGCAGGAATATCTGCAGGCCTCAATGAGTCATTAGAGTAGTACTTTAGTGGAAGGGACAAAGTATACACAGAAGAAAACAGTGCTGGATGGGCACAATTTTGAAACTGCTTGGGAATCAATGTCAAAATGCAACAAAGTATAAAAAATACCACATGATTATGATGTAGAAAACACATACACACAGTAATACCACTAAAAAAAGGATCTAAGAAGGCATTACATCAACACTGCTGGTTCATATGTTTAATTTCATATTTCTACTACATTTTTATGACAATAATCTACACACATATTGAGTATATTCTGTATGAAAATTGAGAATATCCTGGCTTTCACAGACAATTTCTTATGAAAGAACACATCTTCATAGTTATATAATTTACTGAAAGCCTTAGAGAATACAAGATTCTACTCTGTTTATTGTTTGTTGATTTATTTTAAAGCATTTTATGGCTCTCCTCCAACTGCATGTCTCTCAGGTACATTTTAGGGTCACATCACACAAAATTCTGGGATAGATGCAACACGATAAATAATTCTGTTCAATGATTCTCTAATTAGTGATATCAAAACAGGCATAAAACAAAGAGACCAACGTTTGCCAAAGGCCTCACATGGGATGTCCTGTGCAAAGTCCAAATGCAAAAAGGAATTCATCTAGATGATGAGGTCCTCCAGATGCTCCTATTTGGAGAGAACATTACGCTGATTGCATCAAGTCCTGAAATAACTATAGGACTTAATGAGATCTATAAGCACTTGAAAGAGATTAGCCTAACAATAAGAAAAATCAAATGACTGAAAAACGCTTATTGCCCAGACAAAGAAATGCAACTGGATGGCCAGCCTAGTGAATTAGTCCATCAGTACAAATATCCTGGACAGCATTGCAGATGGACTATGCATTGACCATGCATTGAATCGGGGAAGGGAGCATATTGTATTGTACTTGGAACACTGCAAAGAACTTTCAATGATCCAAAGCTGGTCCCCAGTTCAAAAGCACAGTGTTTCAACACCAATAATGTTACGTGACTTAGTATCGCAAAACACCACAGTTTCCAAGGAATCAAAATTTGATTCTGAAGAATTAAAATTCCAGAGATTCAAAATGCAATGGAAAGATGAACAGTGGGTCCAAGTAGGCTGTAACACATTGCAAAGAATTTATTTGCTGGGGAATGGGGGCTGGTGATAGTAATGTGTGGGTGCATGTGCATGTTTTACATAAGAAACAGGGTAAAATATCTAGTAAATGTATGATTGTAAAGGAGATGAGTCAGTCATGTTACAAGGTAACAGGAACAGCTAGAAAACTACACAGGTATAGAGGGAATGTTTTAAAAAAAGAGATTAAAAACAGAGAAATAAAAGTTTCTAGCTGGAGTAGTCTTCTAAGGAGGATTTATGGGAGAAAATGGATGAAGGTCAGAAAGGATGAGAAGGCATGACATAAGTTGCAATCTGCACCTTTGGAAGTACCTTCATCAATCAAATCACAAATCCATTAAAGAATTTTTTTTTTAAGTTTAGCCTCACAACAACTCTGTGCATAGGC